AGTCCTTGCCTTTCCCACAAACCTCTGGAGGCTGGGATGTGACGCTGGAGTCCGAGGCCTCCCGGTGGAGGCCTGCTGGAGGACTGCGATGTAGTTGGACCCTGGAACGGCTCTTCACACGGTGACCTCAGTGCATGGCCTTCTGGGAGGCGCCGTCAGAGTTCCCCTTCGCAGTTTCATCGGTGTCTCACTGTCTGGGCTTGGGGCAACGAGGAATAGGCTGGAGGCCAGCTCTGAAGGGCAAGCAGACGAGAGAGAGAGAGAAGGAGTAGTCTGATCCCCCCAAAAGTAAAAGCAAGAGCGAGAACAAGAGACGACATGGGTGTTAACGGGATGAATTTGACCAGAGCTTCCGTGCCAGAAACACAGCTGAAAGGGTTGAGTGTGAGCAGATCTGTCAACTTATTCACGAATACACAATTTTTAAGGAGAATTACTGCATTCCAGATGAAGCGTAAGAAAGAAGGGTGCAAAACCAGGCGTGTCCCCTTTGCCGTTCGATTTGGTCTGTTCAGCGGATGTCAGCCTGTGTCCTGTGCCGTGTCAGATGGACCACGGCCGGGCCAGAGATGCGCTAAGACAAGGGCTCTTCCAGATCTGACTGTGCGCTCCCCCCCGCAGACCCCAGCCCGGTGCCCTCGTCCTCCAGCACCTACCACGCCATCATCGGCGGGATCGTGGCGTTCATCGTCTTCCTGCTGCTGATCCTGCTCATCTTCCTGGGCCACTACTTGATCAGGCACAAAGGTCAGAGCCAGCGGGGAGCCGTGGTGGGGGTGGCAGGCAGGGAAGCAGCAGGGCGCTGGCTGCCCTACGCTCCTTTGGGGACTCCACTGGCCCTTGGAGGGCAAGAGGAAGAAAGAAGACAGCCAGCCCTGTGATGACCGAGCACCACCAACCCTGCAGTAGAGCCCCATCACTTGGTGGTCCTCCAAGTCAAATGGAGCCTTCCATCTCAGTCCATGCTGCCCCCCCCCTCGCCCTGCTGCTCTGCCCCTAGGGTCTCCTGCTCTGAGTGGAGACCAGCTGACTCTGCCACTCCCATCTCTTTCTGCACTGGCTTCCTTTCTCATCTCTTCGTCCTTCCATCCCACAGCATCTCTGCTCCTCTCCCGTTTCCATGCCTGCCCACTCCTTAGACTTTCCCCTCTGTGCTACTTCAGCCAGCAGCCCCGCTGCACGGCTGACCCAGACCTTAGCTACCTGTTCACGGCTGACCTGCAGTTTCCCTGTCCCCACCTAGGTGTGCATGTGTGCACACACACACGCAGAAGGGAGCACACATGCACAGAGGTACATACAGGTGCTACACGTACAGGTGCACACACACGTGCACACACACGCACAGGTACACACAGACATACATGCACCTATTGGCACACACCTGTACACACAAGTGCACACGTGCACACTCAGACGTGCAGGCAGACACACGCGTGTGCGCACCCACACGCGGGCACACAGGCGTGCACACGCAGGTGTGCGCATGCACACTTATACAGACGTGCAGGCACACAGGTGCACGCATACACCCACACGCATGCACACATACACAAATGTACACTCGGGTTTTTTTCTTGTTTTATGAATGAGATTCTAGTTAAGGGCAGCATTCATTCACTATTCATGAGGTGTGGTCAGGTGATGGGTGTTGGCAGCAAGATGTAAACTGTGTCAGGTGGGGAGGTAGAGAGCTCCAGGCAGGAGAAATGTTGCAGGAGCAGGGGGCAGTGGGCCGGCAGGGCAGGGGTGGGGGTGGGCTTTGGAGGAGTGGAGACCGCTCCTGCAACTGAAAGGAGGGGTCTCTTTCTCTGCAGGAACCTACCTGACACATGAGGCCAAAGGCTCTGATGACGCCCCAGATGCAGACACGGCCATCATCAACGCAGAAGGCGGGCAGTCGGGTGGAGACGACAAGAAGGAATATTTCATCTAGAGGCGCCCGGACACCTCCTGCACCCCAGGGGCCCCACGGGGACTGCTGGGGCCATCACCAACCTGGACTTGTACAGAGCGACCCCAGGGCCGCCCCTCCCGCTTGCTCCCCAGCCCCCCAACCCCCCTGTACAGAATGTCTGCTTTGGGTGCGGTTTTGTACTCGGTTTGGAATGGGGAGGGAGGAGGGCGGTGGGGAGGGAGGGTTACCCTCAGCCCTTTCCGTGGCTTCTCTGCGTTTGGGTTATTATTATTTTTATAACAATCCCAAATCAAATCCGTCTCCAGGCTGGAGGGGCAGGGGCCCTGGGTGAGGAAAGCAAAACCCTGGAGCGTAGGAGGAGAGCGAAGGCGGAGGGGTGAGGACTGGGAGCCAAGCCGAGCTGGTGTGGGGGCCCTCCCCCATCGCCCTCCGGCCTCCACCGCTTCCTGGCCTCCTGGGGGAATGGGGAGGTGGTAAGCAGAAGCTGGAGGGGGCTTTTCCTCTGCTAGTCACGCACCTCAAGTTACCGACAGGGAAGCGGGCTGCCCGGTCACCCCTCGTCCACCATGACAGGAAAGGGGTGAGTGGGGGTCCCCAGGAGGTGTGAGCCAGCAGGTGGAAGGTAGCCACACAGGGACCCAGGGCTCCCACATGGGAAGGACACAGGTCCCTGCCAGGAGCGGGTAGTTCTGCAGGGGGAGGATGGCAGAGATGGGCCTGTACCCCTTGCCCCCCCATGACGAATGAAGCCCAGCCCCAGGGGGGACTGCTCCAGCAGCTGTGGGAGAGGCGCTGCTCCGGGCCCCTGGCTCTGACCTGAGCCCTGACTGTCGCACGGCAACCACTGCTCCTGTCTTGTGCCGCCTGCCCTGCCCCTTCCCGTTCGCTCAGCAGCCAGGCAGACATAACAACAAAAACACTAAAAGGAGCTTCACTGCACTGAGCTGTGTCCTGCCCAAACGAGGGAGTAATGTGAACTCTGTGAGTGTGTGGTTCTCGTGTCTGTGCTTGCATCTGTGTGTATATGCACGCGTGTGGAAGAGGGACGGAGGGAGCGCCCAGGCGGGTGGGGGCTGCGGGATGCTTTGCAAAGGAGGGCTTCAGGCGGGGAGGGTTCTGATTTGGGCTGTGGACCTCGCCTGGGCTGTGGCTCCATCCCCATGTGTCCCAGGTGCCCATCTGTCATGGAGAAAACAGTCCCAGGGTGTGTTTTGCTCAGTTGCCCATCTCATCTGTCCCAAAAACACAGAGCATTCAAACCCTGCCTCAATTTCCCTTCTCAGAGCCACAGAGTCAGTGCTACAGCCTTTGCTATGCACCCCTCAGGCCTCTCCCCGGCACTGACCCTGGAAGGACCATTTTCACTTCTTCCCCCCCCAGAGTCTGTCCCCTGGGTGGCGAGGGCTGGGAGTGAACCTCTGTCTCCTTCCCATCTCCACCCCTGCTTTTGATTTTCTGTCTTCCTGCGCTGCCGTGGAGATGAGGTGGCTCGCCCTCCCTGTCCCGGCAGGGCCCCCACTCACTCCCTCCAGCACGTCCTCCCTGCTACAGCCCGCAGGCCTGTCCACCCCCCTCAGTTCAGGTAATATCCTCGTGATTCTTCCAGCCGCTGGTTAGGGCCCTTGGGCAGCACGGGCACCACCCCCCACCTCAGCCAGGGCCCCCCCTCACAGCAGCAAGGCAGCCTTGGGCCCCAGGCCTGTTGGCTCCCTGTCTCCCAGCACCCGCTTTTGGGAAAATGACCTTTCCTCTTTGAGCTGAACCACTCTGTCCATATTACACAGAAGCCATATTTGTACGGGGGCGGGGGGGAGGGGCTGTTGTGCTGTGTGTGTCTGTCTGTGGGTGGGGGGAGGGGAGCAGGGAGGGGACCGTGTATCTTTATAATCTTTCTAACTCTCCTGTGCTAATCTCCGAGGGGCCGCCCTCAATATATCTGGATTATCCGTGTCGTCCGGCTGCCTCCTTCTTGCTGCTCTTGCTCCAGTCGGGGTGTGTGTGCGTGAGGGGGGTTCTGCTGGTGTCCCCTGCACCTGGACCCCGCGGGGTGGCCCCTCTCCCAAGGGCATCCCTGCGCCGAGACAGCAGAGCTTTCCCAGGGAGGCTGGCTGTTCACCCCCTCCGGCAGGGTCCTTGCTTTCTCGCACGGTTGGGGAGGGGTGTCTGCCTGCTCCCCGCTGCCCCCCGCCGGGCAGTACCGGAGAAGGACACAATGACGGCAGAGACGCAGCTGGCCCCACAGCAGGACAGACCCACCCCAGGGCTACTGTCTAGCCCCGCTCACGTTGAAGCTGACACCGGAGCAGTCATCCTGGGAAGAAAGGGGATGGCGATCTGCGTAAGGCACCAACCTTTGCGTCTCGGCTCCCCTACTCTGACTCCATGCACCCCTACCTGAATGCAAAAGGGCTTCCTGGTGAGATTGAGTTGAAACACCCCAGGCTTTCCTGGAATGAGATAGTGTCGCCTAACCAGCTCCTGAGACCCCATGACTCACCGGTCCCGAAGTCCCGGCCGTTTCCCCACCCAAGAAAAGGCAGGGAAAGCGCAGAGACGGTGCAGAAGCCCTGGAGGGGTGAGGCTGCCGGGAGCAGAGGTGTGGGTTCAGGAGCCTGCATGTGCGGAGTAAATGCTTTCGCTCTGCCAGCTGGAGAGAAACAGAAGCCCCACCCCCATAAGGAACTGCACACATCGCCGAGAGGCCCTCCAGTGAGGCCGTTCCGAGCCTGTCTGTCCCCCAACACAAATATGATCGAGAGCGCCCCATGGGCGACAGTCCCATTGTAGAATGTGCTGCCCCATTGTCCCCCAGAGCCTGCTTTAGCTCGTCAGACAGCGCGTCATGTTTGGTATGGAGAATGCGTTCGCGGCGCCCGTAGGTGGCTAGACCAACGCCCAGCCGCTCCCCGAAGCAGCTTCCTCACACAGCCTTGACCGCTGGCTCCCAGGCCTTCCTGTCCTCACGCTGAAGCACCCAGCACCCACCTACCACCTAGCCCTCGGCTATGTGCTCACGACACACAACACGCATAGCCACACACAGAGACGGCTTGCACAGCACAGAGCTATCAACAGGGGCTGGTCCGACCTCAGGCGCCACTCACAGCCCCTCCCTCGAATGTCCCCCTGGAGCTGTCTTTCTTTGGATCCAGTTCAAGGGGGTGGAGACTCAGTGAGAGTCATCAGCTGCCCCTTCCCTCTGCCTTCCCAGCAGGTCTCTTATCTCTGCCTCACAAATCACCCCTGGCCCCTCTTCCTTCCTGGTGCTCGAAGACTCCATCCCTGCTGGAAACCCCCCTGGCTTCTCAGCCCCCCTTTCCACCTTCGGGAAAACACCCGCTATCTGCGGGCCATCTTTTTCCTTTCCTGAGTGCAGGTCCCCACCAGTGAAATCCAACCTCAAAACAGGAAGCCCCGGGCTATTGCCCCTTCTGGGCCTGAGCTTGAGGCGGGCCATGGGTGTGGGGCGAAGGCTTCCTGAATGCCCGGCTCCCCCCCACTGCCTATCCCCTGGCCCTGCCCAGAACTGATGGCCTTCATTAGCCCCTGGCACTTATCTTGGAGCCGCAGCCACCCACGGGACGTTCCCAGCCCTTCTCTCTGCCTGCCCTTAGCCCAGCAGCGCCATGGGGAACTGTCTGCAGCACCAGGTGAGTGTGGGGCTGGGCCCACAGTCCCCCATCTCTTTGCCCCACAACCTCTTTCTGTCTGCCCCAGGGCCTTTGCACCTCTTTCCTTCTCCCCTCATCTCTCATCCTTCCCTCTGTTTCCTTCTCCTCCTTCTTACTCTGGTCTCTGGGGTCCCTCATCCATCCAGGTCCCTGGCGCCCTGGCCCTGACCTTGTCCGGCTCTCACAGCCTGTCCGTTCCCCTCCCCTGCTCTTCCTCCCAGGCTCCGAGGCTCCTGTGCCATCCTTTCCCACTGTCCCCACTGCATCCCCTCCTCCAGGCTGGCCTCCGCTCCGTCTCCCCCTCCCGCTCCCTTTATTCCCAGGGACTCTTGAGTGGGGTAAACAGATGATCTGACTGTCCCCTCTGGGGCTGTCCTCCAGGTGGCGAATGAGGACTCTACTAAGTTCACCTTCGAAGACGATATTTGGGATGACTTTAATGATTCCTATGGCCTGAACTATAACTACAGCAACGTGGACGCAGCTGCCCCCTGCCGCTCCTGCAGCCTGTTGGACGACTCCTCCTTGCCCTTCTTCATCCTCACCAGCGTCCTGGGCATCCTGGCCGGGGGAGCCGTCCTCTTTGCCCTCCTCAGACCTCTCTTCCACTGGCAGGCGTGCCCCGAACGGCCTTTCCTAGTACAGATGGCCGTGGGCAGCACTCTCTTCAGCATTGCGGTGCCCTTCCTGGCCCGAGGGCTTAAAGGGCTCCAGGGCACCCCTCTGTGCCACCTGGCCCACATGGTCTGGTATGGCTCAGCCTTTGCCCAGGCTCTGCTGATAGGGTGCCATGCCTGCCTGGGCCCCAAAATGGGCACAGGTCAGGTCCCCAACCTCACCCTGAGGCTTGGTGTGGGACTCTGGGGAATGGCTGTCTTGCTGGGGCTGCCGGTCACCCTGGCCAGTGACACTTCTCATGGATTCTGCTCCCTGACATTCAGCAAGAGCCCCTGGTTTCTGCCTCTGTTGCATGCCATCACCTGCTGCGCCATCTTCACCTTGCTGCCACTGGGTTTGCTAGGAGCCAAGGTGCTGACGAAAATACGGGGCAGGTGGCAGTGTCCCTGGGCCAATGTCCTGTGGGCCTGGTTTGTGTTCTGGTGGCCTCATGGGGTAGCTGTGGGCTTGGACTTCCTCGTGAGGTCCAAGGCCTTGGTCCTGTGGACATGTCTGGCCCAGCAGGCTCTGGACTTGCTACAGCACCTGGCAGAGGCCCTGGCCATTCTGCACTGTGTGGCCACACCCCTGCTCCTGGCCCTGTCCTACCACCAGACCGCACGCGCCACGCCGCCCCCCCTGCCCCTGCCTCTGAGACGGCCTTCTCATCTGGACACCCAGGGAGGCAAGTCCTAGCTCTCTTCCCACCTGTCCACCTGAATTAAAGTCTACGCTGCTTTAATGAAGCTGTGGTTTCTTATTTTATCCGGGGACGTAGAGGAGAGGAAGGAGAATGGAGAGAAAAGCATTTCAGGCCAGACCTTGCTGCAGGCATCCGTTTCTCTAGCCGGCCTGGGGAGAAAGTGAAGGACATACAAACTTCCTCAGGGCACAGAGATGTTCTCCAGAGGTGTGAGGTTATTGCCGTCTCAAAGGGGAGGAGATTCGCCTGAGTATGAGGGGAGCAGGGCGCCTGAGAAACCAGAAGAGATGAAGGAAGAAGAGAAACTGCTCGGGAAAGCAAATGAAATAGGAATAAAAACTGGAGAGAGAAAACCAGAGAAGAGCCGAGAGCACGGCCCCCGCCCTGTCTAACTTGTCTAGCCTTCCTCTCCGACTACTATCTCCCTGATAGCTGTTGGCTTTGCTTAGAGATCAGGCAGAGAAGCATCCCAGGGGGCCTCACTTTGTCCAGGGAACATATCAAGATAATTCCAAAAGCCACTTCTTAGGAATCATCTCCCCGAGGTTTGTTTCTCGGCAGGACACTAATCCCTGTGTGTGTGAGCGTGCACGTGTGTGTATGTGTGTGTGCATCTGTGTGTCTCCATCTGTTGGAACCTACATCCTTGCTAGGTGCAAGAACGGAATAGCACCGGTCCACGTGGGGCTGCCTCTCCGTCGGTGTCTGCCGCACACACCTGTGTGCCCTCTCTCAGACCCTCCTTCCTCCGGGCTCCTCCCTCTATCCTTGTTTTCCGAATGTGGAATCAGGATTAATGACTCACTCCCTTACCCAAATGGGTTTTCTTTCCCCTGGCTTCTATGCCGAGTCTTCTCTGTGTGTCTGTGTAGGATGCATACAGGGAACTAAAAACCAAGAAGTCAAGGGGGTTGAGGCACTTTGAGGGGAGGGGCCTGATCTGACTTGTCTTCCACTTAGAATCCTCTGGATTTTAACCCCCTTTGAACCCCAGCTCCTGAAACGGGTCTTTCCTTCCACCTTTCACACCACAGCCCCATGCCCTGCCCATAGTCATAGTCCTGGAGCGTTTTTCTCCAAGTCTGGGTAGTGGTTGGAAGGACAGTGGATAAGCCCTCTCTGTAAGGGCAAGAACTTCTACTGCCACCAACAAACTCACCCTCTGCCCAGGATGCCACGCACCCAAAAATGAGTTTCTCCCTCCAACCCAAGTGAAAGCTGGGGAGACTTGAAGGGTGCCTTCCATCTGTCTGAATCCCGACACAGCCTTCCCGTGTTGTACAGATGTGCTCTAGCCTGGCTTCCCCTACACCGTTTCTGCTCGACTCTGGGCTTGGAGATAACTGGGAGAGTGCAGGAGGCGCCCAGGCACGAGCCAGAACATCCTCGGGAATTTTCCTGGGTGGGTGCGTGACAAAGCCTCCAAATCCAACCCCCTCCTCCTCCCGTCTCTTAGCAACCATCAGGGTAGCGGCTGATTGGTGCATCCTAAATTGAAAGGCGGGACTTAGGGCCCGAGGAGCCGCAGGAGGCGTTCGTTCTGAGACAGGAAAGAGAGAAGGAAAATGAAGGAAAAAGAGAATTTACAAACCTAAATTATACTAAGGCCTCCAACCACAGTTCGCGAAGGCGGCACAAGGATTTCTCTCTCAGCCGCTTTCCAGAGAGGACTTCTCGGAACCCGCCAGCCCCTCCCCCTCTCCATCCTACCTGACATTGCCCCACAACCCCCTTCTCCAACGACACCCTGGACACCCCCCACCCCCCAACCCCGCTCAGGGCCCTGCCTAAGAGGCTGACCTAGCGGAGGGGAAGCGCAGGGTGCTCTCCGTCCAGAACTCTCCAGGGTCAACCTGATGCTCAGGGGGCTGTACTCCAGCCCCGGGGCGCTGTGCACCCCAGCCCGGCCCCAGCCCCAGCGACCCCAGCGACCCCAGCCCAGGAGACACAAACTGCGCCTGCAGGGTCTCGCTGGAAAGAAGCCCAGAGAGCCCCCTATCACATCCCTCACCAAGCCAAGGACGAGGCAGAAGCCGGTGGCTGATAAGAGGTCCGGGAGGCTGGGGAGGGAGGTTTGGGGAGGGCCTCCCCACACTTATCTCCCGCCCATCCTACTCCTGCCCTGCCGCTTTACCCCAGTCCTTCCCCACGACCCTTTCCTGCACGGTCTCCTGCACTGGGATGCTTCTTCTGTGAGTCTCGGATGTTTCTTCAAGGCTTTCCTGGGGTCCTCCTACCCCAGGCTGTCACCCCAAGCCGTCTAACCCACCCACCACATGCCACCAGCTTCCCCAAAACTGTTCTGAACCTGGCATCTTTCCAGCAACCCCTCAGGAACCCAGCTCCTGTTTCCCGAGAACCCTTCAGAATTTCATCTTAGGGTCGGCAGGGACATTCCCTGTGTCTGAGTTAGGGGGCCTCCGGGCTAGGGGAACAATTGTTTCCCACAGAGGAGAGCAGGGAGCAGGTGAGCATGGGGCGCTCGCCAGGCCCTGGGGAAGGTCCACCTGCACTCCTGGAGGGAGACTTATTCCTTTGGGGGAAGACTGAAGATCACAGTGACACCCACAGGTCATTTATTCCAGGCCCCGGGGGGCCCCTCCCAGAGGTTGTAGGAAACGGATACCTGTCCTCACACCCTTTTTCCCACTCCCATGTCCGAACCCCACAGCCCCATCATCACCTTCCCCCAGAGGCGGCCCTCTGGGGAATTCTGATTGAGAACTTCACTGGGATTTCAAATCCAATTCATCGCCAGCTCTAATTGCCAGGGATTTGCATGAAAACCATCGTATGCTATCTAATTATTCTGACAAGAGCAGCCCGCCGTCTGGGCACAAGGAGAATCGCAGCTTTAATTAACAATAATGCACCTTGTAGACAAATGTGACTGTTTAGGTTAATTAACAAGTCCAAGTCCTTCCAGATCGAATCCGCATATCTTCTGGGTGATTTGGGCAGGTGGGATGTGGGCCAGGGGGTGGGGCTGGTTGAGAAATGAGTTCAACAGAGGTGGGCATCAGCTTTCTCCTCCCCCCTGTGACTACCCTTGCAGGATATCCAGAGAGCCCCTTGAAAAACTGGTTCAGGGGAATTGGGGGTGGGCACAGCTATAGGGGATTTCAGCCGTCTTGATGTCACACTTAGATTTAGCACATCTTTCAGACACAGTTGTATAAACGAGAGGAAGAAGTCCTTGCAGTTTCTCAGATGTGTCTAATTCACCGACCAGGTGTTTGGGAACAAGGTTTTCAGCATTAGAACCCCATCTACCCAACACTGCCAAGTCTCTCTGCCTTTCCTTGTACCACGTTTTGGGAGCACTGAAAGTTGCCTACTCCCAAGATTCCCAGATAATGTTCCAAGTCCCAGCCTTGTCCTCCTCCAGGCTAATGGTTTGAACCTTTTTCCGGCGTCATTCCCTAGGTCCTGAAAGAATGACACACTGTCTATGGCTGCAAACGGCCTCTTTCTGAAGGACCCGAGCCTGCTTTTCTCCCTCAAAGTCGGGTATTACTAATGCTGGGGAAGGGGAAACCCTAGGTCTCTTGGAAAATCCAGTGAAAGTGATGAATCTCTCTTTAGGAAAATAGAATATTACACCCACAATTTGGCATGGAGCTCTTCCCCACAGCCCTTGGAGTTAAACTCAACACAGGAATTTCCGTGATCAGACAGTGGCTTCGTCTCCCCCTTGCTCAGGAAGCTTGAGGCCCAGGGACCTAAAGAACTTTCTGTTCTCTGAATGGGCAAGTCCCGTGTCTACTCTGGGCTTTGCACTTGGCATCCCTTCTGCCAGGAACGCTCTTCCCTGTGCATTTTCCGTGACTGGCTCCTTCTCATCCTCCATATCTGAACACAAGTATCACCTCTTCCAAGACTCACCTTTCCTGACATCCAGTGAGAGAGAGCCCCCACCTACCCCACCCTGTTACTCTCCATGGGTTCCCCGGGGATGTTTCCAGCATGGTGTATATCACACTCTGAAATTGTCTCCTTTCCTCATTGTTTGGTGGCCAGTTTCCTGCTCCTCTGCCCTCCCCCACCCCCCCACCCCAAAAAACAAGGGTCAGGAATGCAGGAGCTTTTTCTCTTTTGTAACTGGAACATAGAGCTCAGTAAGTAGGTGCTAAATATGTGAATTAATTAACTTCATACAAATAAAGTGTGGTGCCCCAACCTGGAGGGCTTACAGGCCCCTGGGACTGAGGAATAAGTAAGCACAGAAGTCCCCAGAACAAATGTCAGGACATGGAGCTCCTCCTCCCAAAGGCCTCCAGGGCTCCTCTCCCAGACCTAAATCATCTGTGGGCTGAAGAAACCGGAGGAAAATCAGCACAAGATTTCTGGCCTGGGTGGACGGAGGAGAGTGGGGGGATGGGATGAGTGGGGAATGGCCATCGAGGGGGGCACTTGTACATAAGTGATGAATCACTGAATTCTACTCCTGAAACCAGTACCACACTCCGTGTTAACTAACTTGAATTAAAATAACATCTCAGAGGAAAAAAAATAAAAGATTTCTGGCCTGAGAACCTGTTTTCTGTGTCCACGTGGGCCAGCTGCAGCCAGGGGACTCTCCATAGGCCCCAAGACCAGGTTGGAAGAGCGAGTCTCACCTTCCTTTGGGACAGTACAGCTCTGGGCGGTGGGGGAGAGCTGGAAGGCCTGTCACTCTTCATCTTTACTTAAGGGAAAGTGAGTATCCAGGGACGTCCTGAGTTCAAGGAGACAGTCTTCCAGTGGCTCAGAATCCAATTTGGAGTCCAGCAGCCTTCTCAGATTTGATCACACTCAAGGAGGGAGCCCACACCCTTCGTGGACCTACGAGATGCTCTGGCCTCCCTGCTGCTGGTTTTTTTATTCTTCCTTCTCCTCCGCTTCAGTTCCAGCTCAGCCTGTGGCCCCCACTGTCCATTGCCACCACCCCGTCCAGACCTCTGGGCTCTGGCTCCTTCTCCAGCCTTCTGGAGCCCACCCCCACCCACTGTGGCCAATTCATTCTCTCTGCAGTTCTGGGCACTAGGTCAGGTTAACCCTTTA